GGAAAAAACGACGGAGGCGCTGTCAAGCATCTCAAAAGATGAATTCAGACAATGTTTTGAAAAATGGAATAAAAGACTAGACAAGTGTATTAGTGTAAGTGGAGAGTACTTTGAAGGGGATTGAAGGTTTGTGCTTAAAATTTGAATAAATAAGTTAAAAAAAATAAGTTCGGTTTCTTTTGGGTACCCCCTCATATTGTTCCCAAATTTACAGTTTTCTGTTTTCAATGTTGAATTTCAGTTGTCCCAAGTCTATTTAGTTCAATTATTTGTCCACAAAAATTGCATTTTGAACTTACTACATTCAAAACAAATGAAAGAGAACAAGTGAAGTATATTGGTTAACTGCTGTTTGGTTTGATTCTTTAAAGCCTGAGTAAACTGCTCTTAAAGTTTCTCTGCATTTGAATGCCATTTGTAGGAGGAAGTGACCTTTACATACACAGAGGAAGTAGCTTGACACTTGGCGTGCAATAAAATTTAACCTCTCAGATGGCAGGATTGTCAGTGAATGTGTTAATGTTCTATGTATTTGTCGGAAAGATCTTAATGAATTAATTTGTAATTTTCAGTTTTGGAAACCCACACCGGGATCATCTGGATATTTTGGCACCTCTTTACCAGTGCTGTGTGTAAGTTTTGTGTTTTTGTTCTGGAAAGTCAAAGGAGATGTTTAATATTCATATCCAAATACACAAAGATTCTTTTTGAGGTTATGCGTTTGATACCAAGTAGACTGCTTGCTAATACATGAGCCCCCTCTAACAGTCAGATGACAGTACATGGTTACACTGCATTGACATTCAGTTATCTCTTGGTGGTTAGTTTCTATGTCTCTGTCACTCGCAGAGTGGGAGCATGGCTGTTGGCTTCCTTGTTACTTGGAAAGTGGAATGCCATGATCATCAGGTGGGTAACAGCACTGCTTTGTATTTGGGATGTCCCAACCCACAGACTGGCTGCCTCTAACTGAGGTTTGCGTGGTTTTCCTCAGTCACTCCAACCAAGTGCTGAGCTAATGCTTCAGGTAAGGTATACCTGAGACACTGAAATTGATAGCCAGTCTTTTGTGAGTCAATTGATTGAACCTTGTTACTGTAGAGAACTGCAGCTCAGTGAACTGTTTAAAACGTAAAGGTTTACAGAAAATCAAATTCTGTATGTGTAACAAAACACTGTTAGAATGAACTTCACTGAGGCACTGTGAAATTGTATGTAAGAAGAAATGTTTTCTATGTTGATACTTGGTTTGCAGTCAGGTTCCAGTCTCACAGCATACATTATTTCTTCTGTGTCTCTTTTCACATTATTGTTATGCATTTGCTGTTCATTTTCCATGAGAGAATTTTCATTGACCATGTGTGTTACAGGTTGCGTAAGTCAACTTGGGACAGGCTACAACTTTTCTCAGGTAATGCCTTGAGCACTTCACTTGAAGCACTGCTCCACCACAGCCACATTGCACCAGTGCTGACCTCATTACATCTCAAGGCATTAGATCGACGGCTTCTTTTTGTGTTTGCTACTGTTGAAATGTGCTTTGAACAGCATGGAAGAAAGAAAGTTTTGGTATATGATGCTGTGAGGTAACACTCAAGAACTTACCAGACTGCAGTGCTTCAAGAGGAGGAATATTTTGCTTGAGCATTCATAATGTGATAACTCGGGCCAATGTCAAAACCTACAAAAGGTAGGAAGGTAGGAGCACTTTCTAAATTACCCATTCAACATTCTCTATATCACTTGACGAGAATTGATAGTAACCAGTCATATAAGTTTTGAAGCTGTTGAGACCAAAGCCTGAAAGAACAGTTGGTAATCCTGCTGTATTCCAGTCTTTAATCCTTTCACTGTTTCTTGCTTATATCTTATGTGATGGTGACATCTTCATGTGATTCAGAATAATTATTTTGCAGAGGGGATTTTGGAGCGTGAAGCTGACCACTCACCTCCCGCTAGTGCCATCCACTCCCCCATACGCCTTCATGGTGTAGCGCTTAATTAGTTAAACACAGGGACAACTTTACCTTTACCTTTTACTTGACATGTTATGTCTGTGATATTCCTGTTGATCTACTTGGTCTAGCTTGCAAGTGTTGCAGCTTGCTGTCTTCCTTGTAATGGTTTTATGACAACCAAAAGCAGAACAGAAGAATATAAGAAAGTAAGATTTTCATTGTTTTTGGTGATTTTTTAACGAGTTACAGTATAAATTCATCCAATATTTAGACTGTATAGTGTTTAATGCTAGGATGGTAGATGAATGATGAATTGAAACAGATTTGGAAGGAAGTCGTCATGGCCTAATTGAGATGTTGTCCTGGCAGTTGCTTGGAGGGACTGAGTAAAACCAGGACAAATCTGTCTTGAAAGCTGGTGTCACATCCAAGAACCTCCCAAATACAAATCTAAGAGTGTTACTGCTAGACCAACCTTTTTGGTGTACATGAACATAGTAGGAAACCCCCAAAGACTTCAGAGTGAACAATCGAAGAAGGTCACAGGGTGAATTGTTCATCCATTATGAAATGATGGGAGATTAGTTTAATGTTTCTGGAAAATGACATATTGAATGAAACTAGTTTGCAGAATTTCATAGACAATAGACCAAGTTGAAGGATGAACATAAATCTTTGTTTTCCTATAAATTTTCCATCCATATAGAAAAGCTACTGGAAATGAGAAGATAATAATTATATAGCACATGATTTATTTTTTGCATAACAAGCTAAAAATATCTGACATAACTTCAACCTCTGCACCATAGTCATATGTGTAATGTATGTTTTATGTGATGGTAGGTTCTCAGTCTAGTGAAGATTCACACTGTAATCTTCTGGGCTGTAATAATGGATAGTCTGGTAGGTGGGTGCCTGGAACAGCTCATGGCCATAGGAGCAAAATTTGACAGTGGATTATATAATCCTTAATTAAATAATGAAATTATTTTATTAGACCTATAACAATTTTTGCAGTAATCGTTATCATTGACTGCCTCCCATTTTTACATAAAATATACAAACATTGTGTAACAGTACAGATTTACAGTTATTACATTGCTCATATAACTT